TTGCCTCGATCAGGGAAGTGGACAGCACACAGAGAAATTACGAGCATAAGAGCCTCGTAGGATGCCTCTTGGGATTATTTTGGAGGCCTCTTGGAGCGTCTGGAGGGCATCTTGAGGAGGAGGAGGAGGAGGGCGAGCAAAAAGACCAGAGGTCGCTTGAATGACTTTCGGAGCCTCTTGGGATATCTCTTGGGCGCTTCTTGGAGGCATCTTGGGACGTCTGGGGGTTCTCTTGGCGGTCCTGGGGGGCTCTTGGGCGTCTTGAGTGCCTCGGGGGGGGGCTCTTGGGGACGCTTAGGGCCCTCTTGGGGGCCACTTGAGGGCCTCTTGGGGCCATCTTGGGGCCATCTTGGAGCCATCTTGGCGCCACTTGGGGCCTCCTGGGCGCCTCTTGGGGCCATCTTGGAGGAGATCGATCAAAGAAGAGGGGTTCCCTAATTCGCGCCCCCCCTGGGGAACCTCCAGAATCGCCTCCTGGACCCCTCTTGGGGCGCTCTTGGAGCGCTCTTGTGCTCGCTTGGGGTCGTCTTGGGGCTCTCTTGGGCCCCTGTTGGGGCTCTCTTGGGCCCTCTTGGAGCCATCTTGAGGCCTCGGATGGCCATCGGAAGCGAAAAAGCGAGAAGGCAACAATCATTGGTTTTCCCTAAGTGTTTGAAGGATTTTGGCCTCTTGGGAGGCCTCCTTGGGAGGCTCCGTGGCCACTTGGAGTCGTCTTGGGGCGGCCTTGGGGCCTCTTGGAGCATCTTGGGAGCCATCTCGAGCCATCTTGGGGTATCTTGGGCCATCTTAGAGCTCATCTTGGGCTCTCTGAGGCCCTCTTGGAACCATCTTGGGCCATCTTGGACGCTCTAACTACCAGCGGCCCCCCCCCGTCCAAGTCCAGGGGAGGGGGTTAGGGGGAGGGGTAAACCCCTCCCCGAAGGGGAAGAAGGAGGTTGGAAGGGGAAGCTCCTTAAACCACCTACGCCCAGAGGGCTGGTGGGATTCTTTTCGCTCAAAATCCGCCTATAGGGGGACACGCCCGACTTACCCTGGGGCCCGATGAGGAGCCCAGGAGGCCGAAATCTAGGAAAGACGTTGGGATAGGCGCTGGACCGCCCTCCATAGGCGCGCGGATCTCTGCAAGCTTATGTTTATGTTTATGCAGTGTTGTTTTTCTTCTACATAGGGGTCGGAAACATATGTGTGGTCCTGTAGGTCAAAATTGCGTCCTCTGTATTGGATAAGGGGACAAGTCGGCAGCGAAAGACAATATTGACTGCAGCCGCAGGGGGCAACTCACCAGAGCAATGTGAGATCGACCGTGACCGCGGGGAACCGCCCACCACCAAAGCGCTGTGACCTCGCTCTCCCGTCCTGTTTCCCCCGCTGCCTCCCCTGAGATTTTAGTCGGGCGTGTCCCTCTACAGGAGGATTACTCAAAACTACAACCCGCTGGATTAAAAAGTTGGGACGGCGGGGTTCGAGAGAGAGAGAGAGAGAGACGCTGTTGGCCACCCGTTAGGCCATGGGGCCCAGGACAATGTTGGATTTGATGCCGAATTGGGAGTTTCAGACGCATACCTCACCCCCTTTAGTATTATAAAGGCCAAATGGGGCTGGCGTCTGAAAGTGGCATTCCGCCTAGGACTTACTCAAACAAGTTTCAGATCGCCTTCCAGGGCGATCTGAAATTCTCCCATGCCGTCTGAAAGTGGCGATTTCGCTTAGGACTTCCTCACAAAAAGTTTCAGATCGATGTTCATGCCGCCTGAGAGTGGTCGTTTCGCTTAAGACGTCCTCAAACAGCACTTTCAGGTTGCCTTCCATGCCGCCAGAAGAAAGATTTCGTGTGCGATGATTTCCATAACTTTGTGCTGCAGAGCTCCATGCCCTGCGGAGCCGTTCCGTCATTCGGTTCACGGGCCTGCCTTGGAGTCATCTCGGGGTTCATCGATGGTGGAGGCTCGAGGGCCAGTCGACTGGCGAAACCCGCGGGGATCGCTCTCTCGCATAGTGCCGGTCACAACTTTTTAATCCAGAGGGTGGTATTATGAAACAGATAGTCAGGGGACGATAGTTCGACCATTTCTTTTTCACGATGTTTGAGTATTGCTGGATTTGTTAATTTTTTTCCTTCAAAATGCGGGACATGCCCGACCTGACCTGAGATCCGACGTTGCGAAACAAATGCGACACCGGGAACAATCACGACTTGGAGCCCCGTCTTCCCGCGCCTTTCTTCTCCGAGCCTCGGGCCGAACGAAAGGAGGGGATAGGGAAAGGGGGGGTACGAAATCTGCTGCATGCAGCTGGTTTCGGCCCCGCCGCAGGGCCCATTCCTCGATACACGGGCGCCTCCCGGCGCCGGGAGGCGCCGGGAAAATCAGCTACGCGAGCTGATTCTCAACCCTCCCCCTTTGCTACAGTCGGGGCGCTGAAGAAGGAACCCTTCTCGTTGGGGAGGGGCTCCGTGTTGCTTCGTTGTTTCGCGGCTTGCCTCAGATTTTCCTTAGGTTTCCCATGGGAAATCGAAGTTCAATGTGTGGAGAAGGGGCATCGTTCCTTGTCTAGTCAGAGCGTGAATGACCTACCCCGCTTTCGCTTCCAGGCAAAACTGAGTCATACCACGCGCCTCCTCGTCAAGCGGCACGACCAGCACAGGCCGTCGTTTGGCATCGCTTGGTATCTCTTGGAATCGAGGGTGGTCAGAAGCGGGGCAGGTTTGTGTGCCCCCTATTGAAGGTTCCTGAGGTCAACGCCCCGACTGGAGGAGGAGGAGGAGGAGGAGGAGGAGGAGGAGGAGGCGGAGGAGGAGGAGGAGGAGGAGGAGGAGGAGGCGGCGCCGGGAAAATCAGCTACGCGAGCTGATTCGCAACCCTCCCCCTTGGCTAACCTCCCCCTTCCGCCCGGCCCGAGCGCCGCGTCGGCCCGCGAGGGCCCCCCCCCCGGTGGCCCGCAGCAGGGCGCAGCCGCCCGGCCCGGCGGGCGCTCTTTGGCGATCGCCAGGGCTCGGCCGGGCAGAGCCAGCAGCCGAGCAAGACCCATACGCTCCTCCTCCTCCTCCTCCCCTTCCTCCCTCCTCCTCCTCCTCCTCCTCCTTCCTTCTTCCTCCTCCTCCTCCTCCCTCCTCCCTCCTCCTCCTCCTCTCCTCCTCCTCCTCCTCCCCTCCTTTCCTCCTTCCTCCTTCCTCCTTCCTCCTTCCCCTCCTCCTCCTCCTCTCCTCGTGAATCTCCTCCGCCTCCTCCCCCAGTGCCGCCCCCCCCCCCCCCCCCTGTCGGCCGGGCAGAGCCAGCAGCCGAGCAAGACCCATACGCTGCCCAGAGCAGCAGAAACATCGCCCCCTGACCGATGATTTAACCGCTTCGCTCATTCTGCCGGCCCTCGAGCGCTCCATGGGGCCTCTTTGAAGCATCTTGGGGGTTTCTTTTGGGCCTCCTAGGGGCCTCTTGTGGCCCTCTTGGGGGTCTCTAGGGGCTGCAGAAACATCGCCCCCTGACCGATATTACTTCGCGTGGCTTCTGTGGGCAGGCCTCCTCTATAGGGGGACATGCCCGACCTCACGCCAGGAGCGGAGGGCTCCCTCCAGTGCCCCCCCCCCCCCCTCCTCCTCCTCCTCCTCCTCCTCCTCCTCCTCCTCCTCCTCCTTCTCCTCCTCCTCCTCCTCCTCCTCCTCTCCTCCTCAATCCTCCTCCTCAATCCTCCTCCTCCTCCTCCTCCTCCTCCTCCTCCTCCTCCTACTCCTCGTCAATCCTCCTCCTCCCCCCAGTGCCCCCCCCTGTCAGGCGATCGCGAACATGGATCAAGGGGGGCGTGGATTAGTGACGGGTCCCGTTTCCAGGGGACATCGCGGATTCCCGCCGCCGAACGGGGCGGTACCGGCCGCATCTTGGGGAGGCCGCCTCCCCCGATCCATTGATTTGGCGGCCGCGCGCCAGATCCATGGATCGCCAATCCATGTTTGCGCGCCCCCGACTGAAGGGAGGAAGGATGAGCCAGATGAGGGAGGGAGGCGGCACCGGCCGCATCTTGGGGAGGGAGCCTCCCCCGATCCATGGATTTGGCGGCCGCGCGCCAGATCCGTGGATCGCTAATCCATGTTTGCGCGTTCCCGACTGAAGGGAGGAAGGATGAGCCAGATGAAGTAGGGAGGCGGGAGGGGGAAGAGGCGCGGGAGCAGGAGCAGGAGGAGGAGGAGGAGGAGGAGGAGGAGGAGGAGGAGGAGGAGGAGGAGGAGGAGGAGTCTCTCGGCGCCTTCGGGGAAGGCCAGAGAGCTCCTCGAGAGGACATTAGCACGCGGATGCGCGCATCCATCGGAGGTTGAAAGACCTCCTACCCTGACACGTCGATTAGCGAATCGGCCGTTTTGGGTTCGCGAGATGGCGTCGCGTCCGTCATTTTTGCAGGTCCAGGTCCGTCGGTTTCGGTCTTAGGCCGTTTTCACTAAAGGGTAGTTTGCTAAAGGGAGGGTTGTCCACCGCCGAATCCAGTATTCGATTGTAATTTCTGGGGTCACGCCGACGATTGCTCCGACACGGGCAATGTTCTAGGCACAAACGTGTAAGCATGCCAGACCATCCAAAAGCCACAAACCACATCACGTGGCCACATGCAACACAGAACTCAGAACCGACCTCCGGATCTCGGGATCAGATGTCCTGAGGGACCTCTGGGAAGACATCAGCTCGCCCGAGGTCTGGGAGCCCAGCAGCACCCGCCCCCCCGGCTCGGCGAGGCCCCCCCCCTCCTCCCCCTCCTCCTCCTCCTCCTCCTCCTCCTCCTCCTCCTCCTCCTCCTCCTCCTCCTCCTCCCTCCTCCTTCCCCTCCTCCTCCTTCCCCTCCTCCTCCTCCTCCTCCCCCCTCCTCCTCTCCTCCTCCCTCCTCCTCCTCCTCCTCCTCCTCCTCCTCCTCCTCCTCCTCCTCCCGCCTCCTCCCCTCCTCTCCTCCTCCTCCCGCCTCCTCGAGGCCCCCGGGGACCCGCAAGCCCCGCGCCCGGCGAGGCGCCGCCCGCCCGGATGCAGCCGGCCTGGCGCCCGCGGCTCCGGGGGGCCGCGGCCGCGGGCCGCCCTGGCGCCGGCGCCCGCCGCGGCCGGCGGCCCGCGAGCGGCCTGCCGGGTGACCCTGCAGCTCGACATCGTGGAGGAGGCGGGTCCGAGGCCCCCTTGTGTCAGAGCCCCGAATCATCAGGGTAACTCGGGTCAGGCTAACTCGGGTTCGTTTTTTCGGGAGCCCGAGCCGAGTTACCACCCGGACCCGAGTTACTCCCCGGATGACTCGGGCGTCCAGAGCCCCGAGTCATCAGGGGTAACTCGGGTCAGGGCCAACTCGGGTTCGTTTTTCGGGAGCCCGAACCCGAGTTACCCCGGACCCGAGTCACCCCGGATAACTCGGGCGTCCAGAGCCCCGAATCATCAGGGGTAACTCGGGTCAGGGCTAACTCGGGTTCCTGTTCCGGGAATCCAAACCCGAGTTACCCCGGACCCGAGTTACCCCGGATAATTCGGGCGCCCAACCTTGTGCAAAATGACCCCCCGCGGCCGCGGCGGCACCGATATGTGTCCATCTGCGGCAGAAGGCCGCCTGCCCAAGAGCGGCGCTGTTGGTTTGGGACGACATTTGTTGTTGGGCATGGTAGCCATTCTTTCCGTACCCATTTCGGGCGTCCAAACTCGAGGCCTGAAGTCGGTATCGTTTGACCGATCCCCATCCCCATCCCCATCCCCTTCGAGACCCCCACCAAATTGCCACCGCAGTTGGGGATACACCCCTCGGAACCCGAAGGGAGCGACCCATATCCTCATCTAGGGGGGTAAATCGGCCAGTGGGGCCCAGGCCACGCCGCTGGGGATGGGTATCGGATCAACGATACTCATGAAGAGGAAGTCAGCGGAGGAAAAGGTACCCACACCTCTACCCTTCGGCCGTTGTCCCCTTTCTGGGCCTCCTGGGAGGCCCTCGTCGCCACCGCCAGATTCGCTTCGAAATCCTTGTCAGAACGCACCCCGGGAGAGGTCCAGGGGGTAGAGATATCAGTGCCTTTCGCTCGTCCATCCTAGGGATAGGGAGCAGTTTGAGGCTGGTCATAGGTGGTTCTCCAGGCACCAGAGGGGGACGCTTGGGCCTTGGAACGCCCTTCCTCCCATAACTTCTTGGACCTGGCCAGGTCCAAGAAATCGTAGGAGGCTGGTTATTAGAGAGAGTTTCTTTATTGCTGGGGGCATAATGGGCATTATGGCCCCCGGCGCCCCCCCCTATAACGTGACGCCCTTCCGCTCCCAGTGCGCTCCAGGCAGTGCCGCCGTGCGCACAGCGGGGGGGGGGCGTACCCCCCTTTTGGCCCCTCTCCCCCCCCCTCTATAGTCCTATAGTGCCCTATCGCCGAAAAGAAAGAAACGCGCTCTTCTTCCGTGTTCAGCAGCCCGACAGCACGCCCTCCGAAAACAGAGACGAGGCTGCGCGAGGGCCGCCTCGGCCGGCCCCTCCTCCGAGCCATCGGGGCCGCCGGGCGCAGGGCGCCGCCTGGCGGGCCGCTGCGCGGCCGGGGGGCGCTGGACGGCCTCGGGGCCTTCTACGGGAAGTTCGCGCGGCCGTTCAGCGCGGCGGCGCGCGCCGCGGGATGCGCGGGCGCGGTGCCCCGAGCCCCCCCCCCCCCTGGCGTCGGGAGAACACCACGATGGATCTGTTGTTGCTATCCGCTCTCCCGGCCATCCTGTGGCGTCGGGTCCCCGTTTTTTGGGGAGGCAGCGCCCCGCGACAACTGCCTCCTCCCCTCCTCCTCCCCCTCCTCCTCCTGCTCCTCCTCCTCGCCGTCCTGCTCCTCCTCCTCCTCCTCCTCCTTCTCCTCGTCCTCGTCCTCCTCCTCCACCCTCTCCTCCTCCCCTCCATTCCTTTGTCTTACAAATAACTTCTCCCTGTCGCACCCCGAAGCCAGTTTTTGGGGCGGGCCGGGCGTTTCGCTTAAAGATTTCCACACCATGTATGATATTGACGCTTGAAAGTTGGCAACAGTTTCACGAATTGATGGCGGGTGGTTTTCAAAATGTGGTTCTCGCCTAGCGCGGCGCGCATTCGTTTTACACATTTGCGGATTGATGGCGGGTCGTTTTCAAAATATGGCTCTCTCTCTCTCTCTCTTCAGCGCGGAGTTTCACGGATTGAGGGCGGGTGGTTTTCAAAAGGTGGTTCCCGCTCTAGCGCGGCGCATTTTTTACCTAACAGCGAAGACTGATAGGTTTCTAATGGTTTCAAAAGAGAGCATCATGACTCCCCAGGGGGGTCCCGGCAGGATCCGGGGAGAATCCGCGGAAGTCGTTGTAAGCAAACAGTTACACACTTCGTGGTCTTCGAGGTCCCAGAACTCCATTCCTGGGCATGATTTTGAATGCCCGGAGCCAACTGTCCTCCACTTCGTGGTCTTCGAATTCCCAGAACTCCATTCCTGGGCATGATTTTGAATGCCCGGAGCCAACTGTAGGCCACTTCGTGGTCTTCGAGTTCCCAGAACTCCATTCCTGGGCATGATTTTGAATGCCCGGAGCCAACTGTAGGCCACTTCGTGGTCTTCGAGTTCCCAGAACTCCATTCCTGGGCATGATTTTGAATGCCCGGAGCCAACTGTAGGCCACTTCGTGTTCTTCGAGTTCCCAGAACTCCATTCCCGGGCCACATTTTGAATGAGGCTGAGGCAGGCTGGCTGCTGAGGCTGAGGCTGAGGCAGGCTGAGGCTGAGGCAGGCTGAGGCTGAGGCCGAGGCTGAAGGCAGACTGAGGCTGAGGCTGAAGCAGGCTGAGGCTGAGGCAGGCTGAGGCTGAGGCTGAGGCAGGCTGAGGCTGACGCTGAGGCTGAGGCTGATGCAGGCTGAGGCTGAGGCAGGCCGAGGCTGCGGCCGAGGCTGAAGGCAGACTGAGGGTGAGGCTGAAGCAGGCTGAGGCTGAGGCTGAGGCAGGCTGAGGCTGAGGCTGAGGCAAGCTGATGCTGAGGCAGGCTGAGGCTGAGGCTGAGGCTGATGCAGGCTGAGGCTGAGGCAGGCTGAGGCTGAGGCCGAGGCTGAAGGCAGACTGAGGCTGAGGCTGAAGCAGGCTGAGGCTGAGGCTGAGGCAGGCTGAGGCTGAGGCTGAGGCAGGCTGATGCTGAGGCTGCAGGCTGAGGCTGAGGCTGAGGCTGATGCAGGCTGAGGCTGAGGCTGAGGCTGCGGCCGAGGCTGAAGGCTGATTGAGGCTGAGGCTGACGCAGGCTGAGGCTGAGGCTGAGGCAGGCCTGCTGAGGCTGAGGCAGGCTGATGCTGAGGCAGGCTGAGGCTGAGGCTGAGGCTGAGGCAGGCTGAGGCTGCGGCCGAGGCTGAAGGCTGAGGCTGAGGCTGAGGCTGAGGCTGACGCAGGCTGAGGCTGAGGCTGAGGCAGGCTGAGGCTGAGGCTGAGGCAGGCTGATGCTGAGTCAGGCTGAGGCTGAGGCTGATGCAGGCTGAGGCTGAGGCAGGCTGAGCTGAGGCCGAGGCTGAAGGCAGACTGAGGCTGAGGCTGAAGCAGGCTGAGGCTGAGGCTGAGGCAGGCTGAGGCTGAGGCTGAGGCAGGCTGATGCTGAGGCAGGCTGAGGCTGAGGCTGAGGCTGATGCAGGCTGAGGCTGAGGCAGGCTGAGGCTGAGGCCGAGGCTGCAGGCAGACTGAGGCTGAGGCTGAAGCAGGCTGAGGCTGAGGCTGAGGCAGGCTGAGGCTGAGGCTGAAGCAGGCTGATGTTGAGGCAGGCTGAGGCTGAGTCTGAGGCTGAGGCAGACTGAGGCTGAGGCAGGCTGAGGCTGAGGCCGAGGCTGAAGGCAGACTGAGGCTGAGGCTGAAGCAGGCTGAGGCTGAGGCTGAGGCAGGCTGAGGCTGCGGCTGAGGCTGAGGCTGATGCTGAGGCAGGCTGAGGCTGAGGCTGATGCAGGCTGAGGCTGCGGCAGACTGAGGCTGAGGCCGAGGCTGAAGGCAGACTGAAACTGAGGCTGAAGCAGGCTGAGGCTGAGGTTGAGACCGAGGCTGAGGCAGGCTGAGGCTGAGGCAGGCTGATGCTGAGGCAGGCTGAGGCTGAGGCTGAGGCTGATGCAGGCTGAGGCTGAGGCAAGCTGATGTTGAGGCCGAGGCTGAGGCCGAGGCTGAGGCTGAGGCTGAAGCAGGCTGAGGCTGAGGCAGGCTGAGGCTGAGGCTGAGGCAGGCTGATGCTGAGGCATGCTGAGGCTGAGGCTGTGACTGCGACTGCCGTTGCCACTGCGACTGTCATCGCGAATGCGACTGCGACTGCGAGAACAGCAGAATTCTACAACTGGATTCTCATCTGAATCTTAAGTGGAATGCTTCCAGATATGCTCCTACGCATCGCTGTTAGGTTACTTTGCCGGGATAATTAACATTTGGAAGAGTTTCACGGATCGAGTGCGGGTGTTTTTCAAAATGTGGTTCTCGCCTCAGCGCGGCGCATCGTTGTTTTGACACTTTGCAAGAGTTTCACGGATTGAGGGCGGGTGGCTTTCAAAATGTGGCTCTCGCCTTAGCGCCGCGCACATTCGTTTACCACATTGTCAAGAGCTTCAAGGGTTCATATCATCAACGTACCAGAAATGGTGGAGCCCGTTTAATTATTGCTTGGGGCATAACGGGCGTCATGGCCCCCGCTCCCCCCCCTATGACGCAACGCTCCCTCCCCCAGTGCGCTCCGGCCACTGCCGCCGTGCGCATTGGAATCCGCGTAGGTGCCCGCGTAGGAATGCCCATGGGAGTCTGGTCCGCAGTCGTCGTCGTCTTCGTCGTCGTCGTCGCTCGTGGCTTGTCGCTCGTCGGTCATAGTCAACGTGCGCGCGGACGCGGCTGAAGACTGTTTTTTTTTATTCCGGGCCGATGACGGCAATCATCTAGGGGGGGGAAGGGGTCGATGACGTCATGATTCGCGCCGGCGGCGTTTGGGAATGCCTAGGAATGTCGGAGGACGGGTAACGCCAGCATGTATTTTGCGATTTGCACCACGACGTACGTGTACACCACAGTGCCTGCGTGCACCACAGCGCTTGTGTACACCACACCGCCTATGTATACCACAGCGGCCGCGTGCAACGCAGCGTCAGTTTGTGTCACCGTGCCCGCGGGCACAACAGCTCTTGTGCACACCACAGGGATTGCGTACACCACATCAGCCGTGCGCAACACAGCACCAGTGTACACCACAATCCTTGCGTGCATTGCAGTGCCTGTGTGCACCACGGCGCCTATGTGCAGCACCACAGCAGCGGTGTGCAGCACAGCACCAGTGTTGTATATAAAATGTTTGAACGAATCTTCATGACAACATGGAGCGCTTGTGGATTTCACAGAAAAGAATAGGACATAATCCTTCTGGACAACGGAGCGCCGCTGGAATCTACGAGTCCTCCCGAGTCCGCCCGCATCACCCTAACTCCTCCCATGTGCGTCCATGGGGGCTCCAGCTAAATTGGCCGTCCGAGAACCAAGTGGACCGATTCAATCGGCCATTCTGCGGTGCGCGCTGAGATGCGCACGTGCGCTGTAGCGCCAATCCGAACGACAGGGGGGTAAGGAGGAGGAAGAGGAAGACGAGGAGGAGGTGGAGGTGGAGGAGGTGGTGGAGGTTGACGAAGAGGGAGGAAGGAAAACGTCGTAATCGATTATCAGCACTTTCCCCCTGGCGTGGCGTCTAGTTGTCCGCAGCAGATCCTCCCGTACATGCTCCTTCTACCTGTCCTATGCAAGCGGGCATTGTGGTGTACACCAGCGCTGCGTTGCACGCGGATGTTGTGGTGTAGACACGCGCTGTGGTGTGCACAGGCGCTGTGGTGCACGTAAGCATTGCAGCATTGTGTTGTACCTAGGCGCTGCGTTGCGTACACTGGCGCTGTAGTGTACGCGAGCACCGTGGTGTACACAGGCGCGGCGTTGCACACAGTTGTTGCGGTGTACGCAGGCGTTGTGGTATACACGCGCGTTGTGGTGAACGCGAGCGCCGTGGTGTGCACAGCTGTGGGGCATATCGCCACCTACGTGCTGCTCGCGTCGTCGTCTTCGTGGTGTTCGTCGCTCGTCGTTCGTCGCGTCGCGCGAGCGGGCTCGGCTGCGGTGCCGGAGTCGCACGGCGGGGGGGGGGGGCGTTACGTCATCCCCCCCCTTCGCCCCCCCACCCCATGACGCCCGTCATCGCCGAACATAAAGAAACGCGCACGTGCTTAAGAAGGATACGGAACATGCGGGTGCAACAGTTAGGTTGGTTCTTTGTGTTCATGTCCTCGGAATGGCGTTCTAGCACTTTTCAGGATCGTCAAGGCGCAACAGTCAGATTGATCTGTGGCGTTGGAATCCCGAGAACAATGCTTTGGCATGTTTCAGGGTCTTCTAACGGGTATCTTCCAACGAGGCAGTTCCCTCAATGGACATGAACCGTTGTAGGGGCCTATGAAGAATGAGCTTGGAGGGAGAGTTTACTCCAACATCGTTGATGACTCTTGGGTTTACACCGGTCCTCCTCCTCCTCCTCCTCCTCCTCCTCCTCCCTCCTCCCACCCTTGCCTCTGCCCTACGGATGCCGACCACTCCGGTACACCCCTTATACGCGTCGTGGT